AAAAAACATAGGTTGTAATGTTGTTTACAGAAGACCTCGCGTGTTCTTGTACAAAGCCCAGGAATATTTACACTTGTCAAGAAAGTCTCGGTTTTTTCTCAAAAATTCCCACAACGAATGCAGAACAAAAAACACATGCCTGGGCAGGTTTTGCGTGAGTTGCATCGTTTTCTAGAGAAATAAAAAACACGCAGAACAAAAAACAGAAAAACAAAACAAAAAAAACACAGAACAAACAAACACGCGGAGCAAAACAAAAACACTCTTACCTGTCGGAAACAGTCCATGTGTAAACCAAGATGCTTTGCAAGGAGCACGCCATGTCTTTGTCCATGCATACTTGTGACTCGTTTGATAGAGACATACCGACTTTTACTAAGAATCTCAATTGGATTTATTGCCCGTGCAACGACTCCCCAGTTCGTGTTGGACCTCGGTTTGCGCTCCCCGGCGGAGGTTATGATAGCATATTCGCTGCTGGCTGCAGCAGCGGCTTCAGCCCAAGATGAGCAAAGGTGTTGCATCGTTACGCCTCATTCACAGCTTATAAGAATGGTGGCAACCCGTGCGAGAGGCGTGCTCCTGGAGCTACGATGGTGCTGTTTTTCAAAGCAGGAGCATAGCGGGAAGGTATATATATTCTGCATTCAGCTACAGCGCCAAGAGTCGGATCTAAACTAAACCTGAAGCTGCCAAAGGTGCAATCTGCGCACCCCTGTTTCGGAAAAACGTGCTTCTGTTGTTGCGGGTCTTCTTGGCCACCTGAGTCCAAGGTCTTTTGTCTCTGGGTGGTGCCTCCACTTGCTGCCGCCTCCTCGGGTGGCGGTGTTCGCGCTGTTCTTGCTTAAGTCTTGCGACTTTGAAACCAATCGTTGAGCTTTGATAACACATTCGGAGGGGAACCATGAGAATCTGCTTTTGTATTGTTGCTATTGGCTACTGATAGTAGTGGCCCTGAACAGGGTTATCATTAATATCTTGTGAGCTGGACTGTGATCATCAGTAGCACTTCCGGTCAAGTCCCTCAAGCAGACCTGAAATCAATCTCATATTCCCAGGGTGTAGTATGGGCTGCTGTGGAGAGTACGCCACTCATAGTTCCTGAAGCCGAACATCCTAAAATGCAAGACGCGGGATAAAGCTGGAGTTCCAAGGTTCTCCAATGGATTTCGATGGCAGCATTCGGCTTTCTCCCAAGTGTCGACTCTGTGGATCCTGAAGTGCGATGCTTTCTAAACAACCCCAGCAGGGCAAGGTGGCAGTCTCCAATCTCTCTGCGCTTTTCCAAAGGTTTTGCCATATACGGTCCCCAGACGCTCATCACCATGACGGGTGTCGAGACAGCCTCCCCGGCGAATCTTGCCAGACCCCTGCAAGTTAACACAGGCTTTGCCAATCTGCTGCAAATCATCCACTCTAAATCCCGAGCACTGAATCCTCCAGAACTCTGATGCCCCGTCATGGCCAGGTTCCTCGGAAGGCAGCCGCCACAGCCGGAGGCAAGCTGAAACGGCTTTCCTTCAGAAAGGCGTTTGCTGAGCCTTTCCATAACACAATTGCAAGAGTCTTTGAGGGGATTGAGGCCTGCTCTCTCCTCCCGTCGGCCTGACCCCAAACCAAAAGCTCGAGCCTGGACCGCTTAAGTTTCCGTCTGCGAGGCCTTTTAGCGTACCCTGCGCAGCTTGGCTCGATGTGTGCAGGCCCTTTTGGCAGCAACAGGATGCGGGGAATAAGATTCGGAATAAGTCTCTGCAGTACCAGAAGGGGAAGCCGCAGGCTCAGTACAAAAAGCCAGGATGACCTCCGAGCATACATTAAGAAGTGTGCGCGCACCTCCTCAATTGATGTTGTGTAGCCACAGGTGTCAATCAGCAGAAATGGTCGTCCTGGTGGCTCACGTAATGTGGATTGTAGGCAAAGTGGCTCATCCTCGTTGGACTTGGTTTGCAGATTTGAGCCAGGCGCAGTTTAATCTTTCTTTTGCATGCTCTCTGCGATCGCTAAAACAACAGCGGTCACGATACATCGTAAGTGTATGTCCCCTAGACTCAGGGGCAGCCTTGCAATCTTGATAGTTTCGAGACTTTCCAGCACATGAAGCTAGAAACGTCAGGGTTCAAGGAGATTGCAACTAGGGACTTCCATTGCGCGCAACTCTCTCATGCCCTGTGGAGAAGTATTGCACAAGCAGCGGGCGCTCTGGCATGAAGAGGTTTGTGAATTCTGGTGCCATGCCAGCACACGATTGAAAGCCAGGCTTGCCGTTCGCCCTGCTGGCCTGCGACCCATGGTTTCGGATTGAGGTTTGTTTAGGGTGTTTTGTTTTGGGTCTGGGGTTTTGGGATCAGAGTATGGTTAGGGTTCTGAGTTGGCCTTGCCCGTTGGACACGAAAAGGGGAGGAGTGGATCCACCTTGTTAGTGCAATCGGCTCTCTTAATTTCAGATGGGAGTCGTGCCGACGGACCTTCAGTGAGGCACATGCTGACAACTGGGCCACTGCCCCAAAGACCCGAAGCTGAGGTCCAGGAGTACGGCTGGGGCGGCTTCTTCCCAAGTCTCATCCTCTTGAGCCTGGTCCGCGCCACGCATTTCAGATAGTCGCAGATTTAAGTACGAGTACTACCGACAATCATCCACATAAGACGATGAACGAGAATAACAAGATGAGTAATACAGGTGATCATGTTGCAACTCCCGGGAAGTGTCTTGCCAGTGTTGTCAGGTATCTGCCACGGTGATCATTCCTGGTTGGAACACGCCATCCTACCGCCAGGCCATGTCTTTTCATGAACCATCTAAAGTTTTTTAGTGGTGCCACCCTTCTAGATGCCTTTTACAGTGTCCATGATCATGCTTGTTATCTCTCATCATCGTCTTCGCTTTGGCCCTGATCTGTTACCAGGCGCGCATGGCCTCCAAGTGACGCCCCACGCCAGCAGCGGACTCCCTACGTACTCACCTGCATGCCTACAAAATCAACGTCCTTCTTGTCTTGATTGTGCTGTGCTCGCCGCCGTTGCGTTTGCATGTAAGGAGCATGTCCAGGTGGTCACCAGCACTACGCCCGTTTCTGCGTAATGTGATTACTTTGAGCTAAAAGAGTCAAGTTGGCTATGCTTCGAAATGCTTCAACCTTTCGACAAGGACCCTTGCACCCTCCGCTAGCTGCCCGCTGAATCCTATCAGTACGTATTGTGTTGATGGCATGATGTAAGATGAAAGGGCGCAAGAACATCTGCATCTTGTGCTAGTGGTTTTGGTACGCATGCAAGCCTGTGTGCTCCTACCATCTAGATCCCCTGTTTGCATGCTGCAGACTCGATCCCATGATTCTGTTCGTACCAGCTGATTACGGACGGTGCTGACATTGCATGTTATGGAAACGAGGTACTTGGACAATATGTGGTTTCTGGTTTCCAAGCAGAGATGCACATCACGTTCCCTGGGCAGTAACAGTGTAACATCCCCGCAACAATATTTGCAGCTGAGCAGCCCTGCTTTGTTGTGCGTGGCCGTTTCCTTGCACAGCCTGCAAGGGCTTGAAGCTTCCATGAGCTCCGTAGAGTGCACTGAGCTTGCATCGGCCATGCCATGCGAGGATCTCAGTCTTCCTGTGGCTGTGAAGATGCTGAAGCCTTTTGAGTGCTGGGTGACTGGGTGCCAAGGCTGGGCCGCAAACCCAAGGGAGATGCAGCTGCGAAATCAGCCGGACCGGCCAGGCAGGGCCAGGTGTGGAGCTTTGAAGGAGGATCCACTGAGTACATCCTACATCCAACTCTAATCCTTAGCCTTGAGGCCCGGAAACGGCTGGCTGGTTGGTTGCGTTCAAAACGGCTGTATGCGGTCTGGGTAAGGAAGTGGTGTACTGGAATCGGCAATTAGGAAGATTCCTCGTGAGATTTGCAAGGCTCGCGGATTTCAGCATAAAGCACCAGACTCAAAAGCGGCAGTAAACCATGAATCGTATACATCCCCCTAAAGCTCAAATACTAGACCTGAAGCATACTTGTCCGCTGGGATGCGCCCATTCCAGGAAGAATGCGGCATCGTCCAAGAAGCGAAAGTGGCCACTCGGGCTAATAGCTCTGCATTGACAGGGTAGGGGTACACGAGTTCAGGATTAGGCTTGGCGTGCCCTAGTTTAGCTTTTAGGGGTCATCGACCGGTGAAGGTAAAAGCCAGGTTGCAAAGCAGCCAGTTAACACTTATCTGAAGCATTAAAGTCCAGCTTCAGCTATAGCCCTCGGTTTTACGCGGAACAATGGCCCCAAGTACACAGTAGCAACGGTCTCATGCTTAGAGCATTGCAGATCACGATGCTCTTGTTAGTAGTCATGGCAATTGCGGCAATAGCCAACAGAGTGCCAGCGCAAAAACGTGCATCTTAAATGCGAAGCGTGCATCTCTCTGTGCAACAGCTGGTTCCATAGACATACAAATAAATCACGTCATGATGGATACTCTCATGCACGGCCAACGATTCATGACTACGATGCAGCTTTTAAGTCACGAAGCCCTCTTGAACCCCCATACAACTCGCTGTAACCCATCTCATCGGATTCCTCAGCAATCCCGTTGCAGTCGTTATGTCGGTACACGCTGCGAATATTAACATGACCCTCATGCGCTACCCGCTGCCTCATGATTTTATTCCTAACCGAAACCCCATCATCATGATCCAATGTCGAGCACCTGCACAAAGCTGCAGGCAGGAGGAGCTCAGCGAGGAGAGTGACGGCGAGGCTCTGGAGGGATGAGTTTGGGGTGCAGGAGCTTCATCTGCAAGCGCGCCAGCTCGGCACATTCAGGGAGAATGTTCCTTGAGGGGAGGTTTGGTTCAGAATCCGCGATGAAGCTTACTGACACTGTCTCAGTAAATGTTCTGTCGACAACGCAGTTGTGGTAGTTATTTGCCATCATGTTCGCTTGCTGTCTAAGAGGAAATTACCATGAACACCTGTAACTATTCCATACTATTCCCTCAGTTTTTAAAGTCCCGCCATGCAAGTGTCGCATAATTTGTACAACATGGAAATACGCATTCTTAACGAACTTTTTAAACTGCAGGGCGAGCAGATTACGGTGGAGGAGTTAGAGAAATGGAAGGAGACGCTCGCTGAGGAGGACCCGTTTGGGAGCAGGATTTGAAGTTGAGATACCGAGCTTCTGGGCTCAGGATTTGAGCAATGAGGCAGGTCTCTCTCCCTTTTCTTCTTCACAAGATGAAAATGACTACTTCAGCTGCAGGAGAAGCGAGAGCAGATGGAGAAGGAAGAGCAGGCTCTTCTGTTGGGTTTAGTTGTGGTGTAGGGATTGTGGCAGGAGCCTAGGGTGAAGAGAGCACATGCAGATGATGTAGAGATCGTGCCAAGCGGTCATGGATTTGACAGCGATTATGTAGAGAGGATTCATTGAATGATTCTATGACATTGTGCGTGTTCTTGCTGGATCCCTACATAAAGGAGTCTCGGACTTCAGGGTATATTGCAGTCAGAGGAACTCTTGTTTGAGACTTCGCCATGTTACTGCCTGCAAGTATACACATTCTGCCAGAATTGAAAGGATGAGCAAAGCAAACACATCCGCGACAAAGGAAGCGCACTTATCTAAATGCTTCTCACAGAAGGATGACGAGGAAGCCAACGTATGACAGACTTTGAACCTTGGAGAGCCCGAATCTAATTCCTCGGCCTTGGTGATTTTGAAGCTTTGCCAAGAAGCTGACAAGAAGCAGGAAAGAAGAGCTCGAGAGGAGGAAAGAAGGCGCAGGGCCGCAGAAGAGGCGAATAGCAAAGCCTGCAGTCTGGGTGTCCACTTCAGTTGGTTCGTGTTGGTTCTTTAGACCCTAGTGAGTGTGTTTATTGAGGATTGCGTGTTTAGGGCCATGGGGAGCTTTTCGGGTCTGGCATTTAGTACGGGTTCGGGGCAGTTGACGGGTTGAGGGCCGAGATGTCACAAAGGCACGAACAAGCTCTGGATCCCTAAGCCTTGGTACCCAAACCCGCCCCAGAAACAGGAGGAGCGGCGAAAGCGCGAACAAGAAGAGGCTGAAGCGCGAAAAGAGGCCGAAGAGGCAGGGCGCTGGCGAGTAATGCATGCGGCACAATGCCTGCCAAGATCGCCACCACAGTTCCAGCAGTTGTTCACTATCTTCTCTCAGGATAGGGGGTCTAT